TGATTAAGATTTAGGCCTACTTTTTCTTCTATTAGGTGCAGGGTCTCTGATCTAATTCCTAGGTTCTTGATTCACTCTGAGTTGAGTTTTGTGCATGGTGAGAGATAGGGGCTTAATTTCCTTTTGCTGCATATGAATTTCCAGTTTTCCCAGTACCTCTTGTTGAAGAAGCTTTCTTGCCAATCTAGGTTTCAATTATTTTTTTTCAATGCTGGGGATCAAATCTAGGGACTCACACAGGCCAGGCAAGCACTCTGCCACCAAGCCATACTTCCAGACCTGAAAAAATTATTTGTGAGTTCAATGAAATAATTTACCAGGAATGGAGAAGCCCTTTATTTTACAAACATATAAAACACTTTGGTATCTTTGTGCCTATGCAGATATTATTATCTCTTTCTGAAACACCTTTATTGTAATCATTTAACAGGTTTTTCTGGGAGCAAAACTGAAAGTTTTCTCTTTCTTACACCTTCTCCTAACACACATTCCTCTACACCACAGGGAACAATTGCTTCCTTGTCTGCATCCCATGACACTTTATATCTACTGTTACTGTAGAAATCATCACGTTAAGTTATGTGTATATTTTGGAAATATATATGTCCTCTGCCCCAGAAACACTTTTGTGAGGCAGTGATCAGTTCCCATTTGTATTGTCTCCATTTGGGTCCTCTCTGAAGCTTATGCCAAGGCAGGATTAGATACGCAGAAGAATTACTGGAGGAAATGCCTGTGAAGGATAAAGGGGCTGAAGAGGAGAGAAGGCCAGGAGATGCAGGCCAGACCCCTATGAATGGAGACCAGGAAGAAGGAAACAGGAAGACCACAGAAGACAGCCCAGTTCTAAAATTAGCTTAGCCTTTCTTTCCTTCTCTTTCTTTTCTCTTTCCTCTCTCCCTTTCTTTCTTCTTTTCATAAAGGAAAGTTAAATGCATTTAGTGAAAAACTAGAATTAACACATTAGTCAGCAAATAGGCCAAAACTACACACAGCAGCAGCAGCACTTATGATGATTCACAAAGGGGGACAGCGTGGTAGGACCACTCAATGTGGTTTGTCAGTTAATGAAACTAAAACTGCACACACGTACACGTATGAGCACAAAAATTAAAACAAAAGTGATTTTCAAGGACACAATCTACAACCAACACAAAATGAGAATTATTTAGAATTATTTTTTCTTAATACAAAAGATGATTAGTGTGTGTGTGTGTGTGTGTGTGTGTGTGTG